TGAATAATATAAAATAAATAATAAAGTCTCTCTCTCTGTCTCTCTCTCTTTCTCTCTCTCTTTCTCTCTCTCTCTCTCTCTCTCTCTCGCTCTCTCCCTCCCTAACTGTTATCTAACAGTCGTTCATGCTCTGCTCGTGTCACATTACATTTCTGTCAGTGTGACTTCGTGCGCAGCTCCCTAAGGATAACTAAACAATTATTGTAATGTGCCTGTTCGGCTTAAACCTGCTTTTTGTTTGGGCTTTAATAATTTATTATTGTGGCATATTAGGTCGATGTCGAGTCGATGTCGATGTCGATGTCGATGTCGAGTCGATGTCGATGTCGATGGTCGTTGGTCGATGGCTTGATACTTTTGGCGGTAAGCCCAATATGGACGCACGCCAAACAATATATCATACAGTAAACCTATTACAATGTGCTTGGCATTTATTATGGCTTTGGCGGCTGGTATCGTAAGTTGGCCACCTAACCACGCCCCTAGCTGTGGGCGGTAGGCTGTGTGTTGTGTATTGTAGGCGCGTGCCGAGCACATTTTTTCTCCACTTTACTCTCTATAAATTCGTTATGCGCCCGAAGGGTGGCGGCAAGTGTGTCTGTATGTGTGTGTGTGTATCTATTGCTATGTATCTGTATCTGTAGCTGTAGCTGTGCACTGCTGTGACTAGGCAGCTGTTAATGTGTCGCCAAAAGGCGCAGATTTGTGCTTTGCTTTCTGCTGACAGCTGCTGCGCTCTCCCCACAGGACCTCATCATCGATACTGCCCTTTGTCTGGGCCATATTTGCCCATCGATCAACTTACAGCACTTTCGCTTTTTGTTGCCTTGTTGCAATTAGCGCCGTGAAAGCATTGCAAATAGCGCGCTTGGTTCAATAAACTGCACTCGGACTTTGACCATATTTGCTGTCAGTTGCCTCAGCTGCACCACCGCACCACCAGCCACTCACTTTCTCCTATTATTATTTTTTTTTTGCCATTTCATCTACATCATTTGGTCTCATTATTGAAAACGCGCGTCACTTGGAGATTGATATGTGCTTGATTTCCTGTGGCATTTGACGCTGCTTTGTATATGGTTTTTCTTCTTCTTTTCTTTTTTTTTGTAACCAGAATACAGCATAATCATATTCCCTAAGAACTCCCCATTTTGTCGTCTTCTATTACTGTAACGAATTCCGGCTGGGCCATCATTAAAATATGATTTATAGCGAGTAGCTGCCGAGTAGCTGCCGACCTCCTTTTCGTGCTCGACTTCTTGATGGACTCAAGTGCCGTTGGCTGCTGTGAGCTGCCCTTATCCCTTTGTGCTCCCATGGGTGTGGGAGAACACTGGGGCGAAGCGTGGGTGTGAGGCTGCACCATTGTCCTGTCTCGTGACTTTAAATATTTGTGCTGTGTCTGTGGCTTAGACAACAAATTGTGCTTGCCATTCGGGCTTGATTTTTCGACTGGCTTCCTTAATCGCAGCGTTTTCCGCTCTGAATATGAATTAGGCATTTAGCTGGTATTTTAATGGGCTTAGAAAGCGGTTTACGATTTTCCAAGCGTAATTAAGTAATTAAGCGTTTAATTTAAGCTAAATTTGCATAGATTGTACTCGCATTTAAGTTAGTTGTAATTTAAGTTAGTTGTTGTTTAAGTTAGTTGTAATTTATAGTAAGAAATAACCACAAATCGTTCCATTTACAATTACATAGATAAGAAAGAGGGCTCAAAATGTAAAGCACAAAAATTGTATACATACAACTGTAGTTCAAATGATCGATTTGAAACGATAAGTATCGATATCTTTATGTTTATTAGGAAAGCATTATACTATCGACTATTATCAACTGTTATCGATATCATAAATATGTAACATAGTCGATAACATTACAAAATAATTTATCTACAGTGACGTCCGCATTCAGCTCTATTTCCCTTCCTTGGCTGCTCTACCCTTCATTTTAGGTTATAAATTTGTCGATGACTTTTAGAGATGCGCACTTTAAACTTATCGATAAATTAATAATCACAATTAGTGGCACTCCACTGAACAGACTATTACTAATGTATCTTCTTTTCGTTTGCTTTCCTTCTCCCTCCCCTCAATATGCAGTCAAATAACAATGAAGGCGTAGCCGTGCCCATGATCATCGACGACAACTCTCTGGACCAGGTGGTGGCGCCCACTCTCGTATCGGCCAACGCCTGCAAGTACTCGATGCCGCTGCACTGCCACACGGCAACTGCCTCGGTGCTGCGCAACTATCGCCACAATCCGCTGATCAGCGGCACCAATTTGCAACTGTCGCCGGTCTTTAGCAGCGGCGAGGCAGCCAGCCCTTTGGCTGGCGATGGCGATGCCAGCTCTGTGGCCTCCTTAGATGATTCCATGCCGCCGGGCTTGACCGCCTGCGACACGGATGCCTCCAGTGACAGCAGCTTCGATGAGAGCAGCCTGGCCGACTCGGGCTCGCCCCAAATGCAGCTGCGCGCCGAGCAAATGGATGTGGCCTCGGTGCCCGAGGCTCCGCCTCCACAGCTGTGCGAGGCAGAGGAGGAGGACAGCCAGCCGTTGAGGAGCAATGCGACCAGCCGCAAGTCATCAATATCGTTCATAGACAGCAGCAATCCGCTGCTGCGCACACCCTACCTGATGGACCTGTGCAACGACGACTACAACATGACCGAGGAGAGCAGCTTCGAGCTTGACGGTGTGCTGGATTATCTCTAGACACCCTAAGCGCCTGTTCAACAACTATTGCGGTAGACAGGCAGGCAGGCAGGCAGGCATTGCATTTGTTTTTTACGTAGGCTTTTCTTTTTTTTCTTTTTGGGTTTCGTTTAGTTTGGCATTTAAAGAAGTGAAATCAAAACATAAACAAAAGATTGAATTTTGAGCCTTACGTAAAATTAGAAATTAAAAAATTAAAAATAACAAAAAGCCAACGACCACGCCCACACTCACGCACTCACACACGCATACACTGACAACAATGAAAAAGAAAAAAAAAACAGGAAGGGTTCAACATATTTTGAATAGTTTTGTAACAACTTTAACTGCCAAGAACAGATGAATAAATATATGATTCTACATGTAACAAAAAAGTTGAGAAGAAAAAGAAAAGACCCAAAAGAAAAACCAGAAAAAAAATATATTGATTACAATTTTATTACACTAAGAAAAATACAAAAAATAAAAAACTTGAATTTCATAGATTTTGCTCAAGAAAAATGAAAAATTTTGGTGACGGTTGTAATCCGAGCAGATTTTTAACGCAAAAGCTGTGAGAAAAAAAATCCAAAAAAAAAAACATAACTTTTTTGAAAATTTTTTAAACAAAACATACAAAAAAAATGAATAAAAATCATCTTCAAATAACGTTTAGTCTTAAGTCCAAATATTAAGTTCAAATGTTAACAAATATGTGTTTAAATAATTAAGTCGTACAGATTTCAACAGTTCAATTAATTTTTATTTTCAATCTTCTACTATTTTGCATTTCTTAACAAAAAAAAAAAAAAAAAAAATCAAAAAGCTAAGTAATTCTAAACTTTGCCAACAGTTCAATGATTTGATGTCAATTTATATAATTTTCAATTTTTGTTTTGTTCGTCTTTCGATCTAAATGTGCTTTAGCTTTTAGTTCTAAAGGACGACTATTGTTCACAAAGCAACTTTTATATACTAGTAAGAAATTCTCCATAAATACTATATGTTATTCAAACTCGATTTTGTTTTATGTTCTTTCACAATCAATGTTTTGCTAATAATGATAATGATTAAATAAATTAAGAATTCGTTTCAAGATGCCGTACAAGAAGTTTTTACTTTTAATTGGGAAATGGCTTGGGGCTTTTTTTTCAGAGCTTGAAAGAATTGTTTGATTGATATATTGGAAAATACTTGGGCAACTTAAATTTCATATGGAACTCTTCATTGTGTCTAAGACTTCATACAAACTCCATCTGAGCTCACCTCACTTGAATCGCACATTATTCTGCAGCAGCTCGAGCAGCTGCTCCTCGGGCGCCTTCCACTTGCATTGCGGATATTTGTATGTGCAGTAGTGGGGATTGTCTATGCGGCCCGCTTCGATGGCCTGACGCAGTGCCGATTGCTCCAGCCAGGAGAGCAGCCAGGACCAGTTGGCGGCACCATCAACCATCAGCTCCAAGTCAGAGGCCTGGCCACTGCGCACACTCTCGCCCGCTCTGTGGGTCAGCGTGCAAATAGATTTGAGCAGGCACACGGGCAGATTGATGTCGTTCTCCAGAAAGGTGCGTTCGATGGTGCTCAGCAGGCTGGGCAGTCCGGTCTCTGTGCGTGAATGTGGTATGAGTACATTATTTAGGTTTACTTATAGTTATTCGACTTACCCACTCTTTCGCCGCTGGCATTGCGATAAATCAGCTTAAAGTTATCGAAGAGCTGCAGGAAACTTTGCTCCTCATCGAGCAGGCGGCGCTCTGCGTGCTCACCGGAAGCCTCGCTCTTGCCAGCCGGCACTATTGTCTCCAGGCCCATGCTGCGTATGAGATGACCCACTGCGAAGCCGCCAGCGGCCACCAGGCCACAGCTCAGGATGGCAGCGGAGTTGACGATAACCAGTGGCTGCAATGGGTAAACAAACGCGGGAAAATACACTCAGAGAAATGATTTTAAAACTACTACAAATAAATGAGTATAATCTCAAATAGTCACACAATGTAAATAGACCCAAGGCAAGTAAGAAAAAGTTTACGCATTTTGAGCTAGATTTAGTTGAGGTACAAACTTTTTGGTATTTTCTGTAAGTGTATCATAAAATTTATTTTTCAAACTACTCACTCGAGGCGGTGCATTGGGTTTACGTTTGATCGGCACTTCCACAAATGGCATCAGATAGTTCAGACCCAGCGCCAGGTCCTTGTCAACGCTATCGAAGGATATGAGACGGAATCCTTGATTGTTTTTCTGCTGCTTGTGGCTGCTCGAAGTTGTGGCGCCTCTACCATCATGCTGTGTCTCTTCGGACTCGCCTGCCACCCAGCTGGACAGGATGAGGCACGATATAATCAAATATAGGAACTGCATGCTTCCGGCTGGCCGCGTCTGCTCCGTTGTGTAGCTGTCGCAGATTTGAAATCCATTTCGACTGGCGGCGTCTTGGTTAGTTACGTGCCGTCAGTAATTTTGGCCAGTCGCCGCTTCGTTGCCTCTTGGCTGTGATAATTTGAGTCGCATTTGAGCTCCACTTGCTGCTGCCGCTCTGTGGCTGTTGCGCAGCCGTGACATAAGCTACAACTAAGCTGAGGTGCGACAACGTTTTGTTTCTAGCGCCTCAATTGAGGAAGCAGCTGTTACTAAGGTAAACACTAAACGCCGATTGGCGCAAGTTCCCATCATTATAAATTGACAGAGACGGAAACACTCTCTCACTCTTAAATCTGAAGAATGGTATATATGGCACCAAAGATTCATTTAAATGTGTTTTTAGGTTGGATTATAACCTTATTATATAGAAAATGTGGAATGGATATACAGCAGAGAATAGCAGGCGAGATTGAGACAAATCTGGAAGGCAATGTGTGTCATATATGAAGTTAGAGGACAACTTTGAAAACGCTATGATATGTAGATATACGGATATATATAACAGATTATATCGGCTGAGGTAGTGGATATATATTGTACATACTGAGTTCGAAAAAAAATAAATACGAAATCAAACAATTTTGAATTTAAGATTAATTTAAGCTATGCGGACTTTTTGCCACTTGTAGAGATCCAAGCTGAATTCCCAACATTATTATGACATATTGAGAATTAAATTGAAATTTTTTTGTAATTAATAAATATTGTATTTGGAATATTAAAGCCTAAACAAAATTTTGTTGTTCTATTTTTTTTTTAATAAACAACAATAGAATTAAGTTCAAAAATCAATATTAAATAATTTGTATATAG